CTGATTTTTCTTGTAATTGTTTTTTCCGCCATTCCTCCTTAGTTGCCACTTCAAATTGGTCAAAGTCAGTGTCTCTCAGTGCCCTGGTTTCTTGTCTTTGACCACACTCCTTTATCTTTCTTCTTTTCCTTCTAACTTGATCACAGCCCTCAAGCACCTCATTTTGTTCTTTCTTTCTGACATTTTGCTCTTCTAATTCTTTGACTTCCTCTTCTAACATCAGCTTGTCAGAATATACTTGATCTTCTACATTCTTCTTACGTGGTCTACCACGTCTCTCGACTCTCTTTCCTTTACGCTTAATCTGTACTCTCTTTCGTTGAGTAGTTCTCTTGCGCTGTCTTCCCCTTTTTTCCCCTCTTTTCTGCCTTCGAGCATATGGACGGTTACTCCTTGGGCTAGAAAAGCTGCTGCAGGAAGTGCTTGAGCACCAGCTGGGGCTACTAGGACTGGACTCAACACCATCATGAGAGGTTGGACTGTAAATATTACTGTGAGTGACTATATGACTAAGATTATAGAGACTGTCAGGACTATGTTCATCTCCAGTCATATAGAACCTGTTACCAGCTTTTACAAGAGCTCCATCCTCACAGAGGTTTTTCAAATGGTACTTGAATAAACTATCATGAGCCCTTGGCAAATCAGGATACTCTTTCCTAATAAACAGTGATATTGCCTCCTCAGTAGATCCACCTTCCTCATTCAATTTTTCAATTGCATGTTCAATCATCTGTGCAAAGTGCATGAGACAATAGAACTAAGAACGTAGCTGAAATTTATTCCATGCAATTTAAGAATTTGGTTGGATGTACTATCTTGAAATTATAGTAATAAGATTCATTTGCAGATTTATGTGGCGCTCTCAATCAGTCAACAAATAATCAAAATTTCTACCAAATTCAAATTTAACTTACACTTCCCAATTACCAACCTTATTTGAGGAACACATGTTTAGCACAGAAGTTAACTCATCATAGTTGTAGCACTTCTTCCTAAACACAGTCACATGTTTACACATTCACTTCGCATATATAAAACGAAAGATCTCAATTCACATTAGGCTACACGAAATACCCACTAGAGTGTGCTTTTGGAAAAAAAAAAAAAAAAGGGTTGTGAACTGAGCTAGAATTTCAACATCATGTTGAAACTTTAAGAATTTTGTGTTCAGGAAGTGGTACCTAGAAGCCAGTACTACAATCGAAATACATGGACGGAATCTGTCCAAATCCATTTTGGAACAATGAGCACTTGATGATGACCAAAATACAATTTAAGCAAGAAGCACCCAATAAGGTGTGATCTCACAGAAAAACCCTCTTACCCCAACATGGTCATCCAAGAGTAGTGGTGGCAAAATGTGCAGGATCTACTTGGGTTTGAGATGGGACCGTGTAATATGGGTTTAGGCACAACCTTATTCATATGTGTTTTGGGACTAATTTGGACTGGATTACTTTGGGATGGGTTTAGATTTATCCCGCCCAATACCCAAATCTATTTCCTGTATTCTTTTTTCCTTTATTTTTTGTATAACTTTAATATTTTTTATTTATTAAATTTCTTTTGGTCTTATTGGGAATTTATATTTTCCTAAATTCTTTGTTTCCTCAAATTTTCCTTTATTTATTTTCTATGTATATATATATTTTTTAATCTTTGATTTCCAATGTTGCTAAATTTTAGTTGAGGAAAAAAATAAGTCCTACAAAACTTAAAAAGACATTTATTTATGAATATAAAGAAATGCCATTGTATGACTTGTATTTATGCTATTGCAACCTGTACAGCTAGTGAAATTAGTTGTAGCCCAACAATAAGCTACAAGGATGAAAGTTTAGTAGCATTAAAACCTTCACATATGCAGCAGAGGCACATCAACCTGAATGCTTCAGCCTGAACAACTAAAAAATAACACAGCTTCCTATATTTTATATTTTTATTTAACGGCCAACAATTTTTCAGAATCATTTAATCTAGATAACTAGATGGTTTAAATTAAAACTCAATTTATAATTACTATTTTAATCTTTCCCTTGCAATATAGAAGAGAAAGGAGAACAGGATTTGAAAACAAAAGAATTTCTAACCACATGACCCTGCTTTATTCCCCATATCTTCAGCAACAACAACAAAGTTTATTCGTTAGGGAGGGAGGAGCTTTAGGATTAATTAAATTTTTGATGAGATGTTTGGGCCCCAATGGGTATCCAAATATTTCTCAACAATTTCCATCAATTGATGGGTATAAATGGGATTAGTCCCATCTCAAGTCTAAGCTCAAAATTAGAATACCCATCCCGTCCAAAGTCCCTTCTTTGGACATGGATAACCCATTGGGACTTGGTACATATTGCCATCTCTATCCAAGAGGCAGATTTCTCCGGAGAGCAAAAGAGTGAAGTGGAGCTAATAAGCTTTGAGAAGTGAGCTAAAGCTATTTACACCTCTCCCTAAAGCATCTAACCGAATGCCCTGCTGTAAACGAAACTTTTCTTGAACGCATCATCCCAATATAGTCACTGAAAATTAATAAAATGCTGCTAGTTGTTTTGAGGATAACCTACAAATTTGGACACTGACAAGATTGGATTTTCACAATTATTTCAAACAATGAATTTATTAAATCTGACCGTCCTCTTGCTTAAACACACAGAAAAAGCAACCAGCCTTTGGGATTATTTTTCAAAAGTGTAAAAATTTCTTAAATTCCTCCCTTTAGGCATGGAGTTCAGCTCGAGCAGTGCACTACTCATACTCGACTCGATTCGACTCGATTGCATAATCGACTTGACAAAGTAATATTCAGAAGTCGACTTTGCCAAATAAAACTTAAAAAAAAAAAAAAAAGGTGAAGTGGATTTTTATAAAGTCAATCTTTGAGAAAATAGACTTTGCATTCGGTTAAAATTTGACTTTACCAAATAAAGCTAAACATAAAAAGAGAAGTCGAATTCTAGGAAATCGACCATCTTAACAGCCACATTTATTATTACATATTTTTTGGGTGAGTCACATTTATTATTTATGCTTAAAAAGCTGATCTTTTTCAAGAATAAAGCTCCAAATACTGCAGCATTACTCAATTTGATCATCAATCAGCATTTCTATTACAAATGCTTGTAAATCCAACAACCCTTTTGAGAATAAACCAATCACAAGCTTGCATGTTTATACGCAGGGCAGATTACAGCATTAAAAGTGCCAAAAAAAATTGTATTACGGAAAATTATAAAAAAATGGTAAAAGAAAAAGAAAAGGAGAAAAGGGAAAAGGGAATAATGCAGACTTACAGCAGCATAAGGGGGATGATCAGGAGTGTGAAAATCAGGGAAGAAGTCATGAAGGCGCTGTTCAATCATGGACCTTTGCAGGGGGATAAAGACTTGGTTGGAGAAGAGGATACAACATATCTCAACAAAAAAGCTTTGAAGTTTTCCATTTTAGTACCAGTTGCATGGCTGTGTTTTTGGCCATTATCGAAAGGGAAACTATTTTCATTGCTGAATTCCTGGGTCTTGGTAGTGGGTTTTCAGTTTCAGGTGGGATATCAGGAGAAAATGGTGGTTCTTGATCGTCCATTTTTGGGGTAAGGAGGAGGGGAAGTTGAGGTCTTTATTGTGTTGACTGACGAGTGAAAAACAGAAAAGGGTGAGATAGTTTGTGGGACTTTTGTGTGGATTTAGGAGTAGGTAGGTACAATCGAAACTGAGTCTATTCGAGTTGGTTGAGTTCTTGAAAGTTAAGCTTTAGCTCGCATAATATTTTACATTGTTCGAATTCGAACTCAATCTCCCCCGCTTATCGAGCCCAATCAAATCTAATTGAGTTTAAGAAATATAAAGTTATATTTTATATAATTTTAATCAAGAGGTGAAATAGACATTTTATATTAATAAATAAAAAAATTAATATGTGTGTGTGCACACGTACGTGTGTGTGTGAAGGTCGATTCATTAAATTCGATGAACTTTTAAACTTCATATATTAAACTTAAACTCAACTCATAAAGTAGTTTGAACCGCTCGAACTCGGTCCATGCGAGTTCCAACTCGAGTTTTGACTGATCAAGCTGGCGAGTTACTCGATTAAGTTCGACTCGTTTGCACCCCTATTTATGACAGTGACCGAAGTACAAGAAACTAATACCATGTAAAGAGACTTTGGATTTTCCGAGAGGGCCAGGAGGACTAGTTTTATATTATATCATTTGATCAAATAAGGATTATATTTGAAACAGATCCCTGAAAAATAGTTAATGAATATATAGATAGGAGATTATTTTTTAAAAAAAGAATAATTATTGTAGTATTTTTTTATAATGTGATATATTTAAGATTAAAAAGATAGTTAGAAAGATTAAAAAAAAAAAGAGTAATTAAAAATGTGTATTTACAATGCCAACAATTTTTTTTGGGAAAAAAATTGGCTAGCCAAACAAACCCGACCCTATAACTCTATTAGTTATGCAGTACAATATATCTTGGAATTTTTTCCCTTTTTCAGACGCAAGTTTAATAATTGGAGGACTTGTATGGGATCCTGGAATAATGTTGGTTAAGATTTTAGAAGACAATACAGCACTAATATTGTAATAAATGTCACTGGAATAAGAATTACAACAAAATCATGGAGAACGAGATATTAGTTGAGCACTCGACATCGAAACCTCAAAGAAGCATAAAATCTCTGGCTGGATTTTTGCATCATTTCTTTATACCTTATGGTGAGTAGCTTTTACTGCCAAAATATCATGTAAGATTGAATGTACTTGTAGCAATTACCCATTTGACTAAAAATTAGCATTAAAAAGAGTTGTATGATGAGATTTCACGCACGAAACTTAGTTAATTTATTCTAGGTGGGGTTTTCTGCAACTAAGCAAAACTGTTTTAGCTTTGGCCTGATGGTTTACACTTTTTTAGCACAGTTACAGGATACGGAAGTGCAAAATGTAAACTGAAAAAGAAGAGAATAACTGAATGAGAAACCAAGGATTGCACCAGAATGGATGCTCGCAAAATTTCAGCTGAAAATTTTCAATTCGACATATGCAAATTCACAACTGCTGCTCCGCTAAGCTCATACATACAACATATCAATTCCCAACCATCAAAATTACTCGGTATTCATGGATTACAACAGCTGTATCACATGAAAAGTAATAAGCAGGCTATGGGACAATAGGCTTGCTATCCCAGATCTCCCTAGCTTCGAGTAGATCTGGACAATATCGCTTTGCCAGTACTTCAACTTGATCAGCAAATGAATTGCTTCGACAGTCGCCAATGTGAAGAACCATTTGCCTCCAACGTTTTCGACACACATCTCCAGACCTGTGCTCAAGAAGATTGTCCCAATCCACATCTTCAGTGCAGCTGGCATCCAACTGAAAAAGTGCATCAATTAGGCGATAATCATCAGCATCAGCCCATAAACCTTCAGTCACCATAGATGATGTTAACTGGTTGTACCATTTTAGACAGCAGTTAGCTTCAGGTCGCGTGTGGACAATTTATCACTAATTGCAGCCCAAGGAATATTATCTCGTAACATGCCATGCTTGGATTTCTTCTCTTCACAATACTTCATTCTCAGATCTGTGTTCACTAAATCAAATAGAATCTGGTACTCCTCCTGAGACCAACGTCCTTTTCTCATATTTTCATGTCTTATTCTGCGCCAAGTGTCCTTTACATGAAACCTATGTTTGCCAAGTTCGTCAGCCAATTCCTTCCATTGGTTCCCGCGCATCTTGTGGGACTCACGGAGCATTTCAATCTCTTCTTCAGTCCATTTACGCTTTTTATCCCTTCGAAACAGAACCTGAGCACGATAATAGATGGCACTATGAGGCCGATGTGGTAAGCAAGTTGTTATTTCCTTCCAGCAATTCTTAACTTCAGGGTGTGACCTGCAGTTCAAGACCATGTTCAAACCTTCTTCACCTAAACAATGTGCCTCTATATAGTCAAAGACAGCCTGTTTCACGATCTCATCCTCTTCGCTAGAGAAACGTTTACCCCGAACTAAGTTATCATCAGATGGAGGAAAAACCTCCGTAGTGCCTGAAAACCTTACTTTTTTCTTGCTTTTCTCAGCTTTAGGATCTTTGGAACCATTTTTCACTGATTTGGCCTTTCCCTCTTCCTTTTACCTCCATTTTGCAAATCTTTGTCAGATTTCTCATTCAAGGTTGAATTAGCATTGTCATTCATGGACTCTTCAGCCAGAATACCTAGCCCACTAGCACCTGCAACATCATTTTCTTTCATTTTCTCTCTCTTCTTCTTCTTCTTCTTCTTCTTCTTTTGCTCCTCAACGTTTTCCGTTTCACAGTCTTCATCAATTGCTTCAAGTTTAGCTTCTTCTCCACTTTGATCCTTGTTCTCCTGAGCTTCAGTTTCGTTCGAACTAGTGTTTCCCTGCTGCAAACCACCAGAATGAACACTAATTAATTTCTTCTTTTTCTTCTTTTCAACCTTCACCACACCATCCCCCTCTCTAGCCCTCGTATTGCTTCAGAGCATGTCCCATTCATGCTCAACTGACTTCCATGCTTAGCATCCTCAAGTTCTTCCTGTTTCAATTGGTCGTCAGAGCCAATTCTCTTATCCTTCTCTCTCTTTCTCTTCTTCTTTTCGACCTTCTTCAGTACATCCACACCATCGTTCCTTCCCTACTATGCTCAAAATCTTTCTTCGTATCATTTCCTCTCTCCCTCCTACCATTACCTTCATTACTGCTTTCACTAACTTCATATTTCTCCTCCTCTTTTTTCTTCTTCTCAAAATTTCCACCTTTGCCACATTCTTTATCAGCACTTTTACAACTCTCAATTACCTTATCTTTACCTCCACCATTACCCTCATAAATTTCGTTATCCTAACCTCATTTTTCTTCCCTTTCTTAGACTTTTTCATGTCTTTTTCAGCACTTTTACCCGAATCTTTGCCTCCACCATCACCCTTGCAAATATGGATATCAGCAACCTCATTCTTCTTCCCTTTCTTAGACTCCTTCTTGTCTTTCTTCCTAACCTCCACAGTCCCCTCTTCTTCCGCACCCATTCGTATTCAAAATACCTATTCCTATCCTTCGCAACTCTCTCACAAGTCACAACAATTAATTCCTGTAAACAAGAAATTTCAAACAAATCTATCAATTTAGGGAGAGTAAATCATCAATTTTTCATAAGTAACATTTTCGTCAAAATTAATTAAGTTTGTAGAAATTACAGTTCCCATTAAGTAAATCTTATTCTGCTGTAGTCCAAAATTCTATTCTGGTGAAACTCAAGAATCTAATCTCCTGAAATCCTAACTTACAGTACACAATTAAACCCAGAAAAGGGGGAAGGGGGGGGGGGGGAGAAAGCACAGAATAGAGCTAACAAGAGATGAATTTCAGGGTTCGATCGGGTTGGAACGGTCTAAGAACTGGGTGACATCATCATGATGTCATAAATACATATTAAATATATATATATATAAAACCTGAAATACCACAAAAAGTACATACACGTTGGTGTTTTCCTTCTTCCTACACATTTCCCACATATCATACGCACAAAGTAAAACCAACTTTGAAAACTCAAAACACATACAATCCAACCAACAACTTCACAAATGAAGAATAACAACCTCCAAATCCATCCAAACTATCAAACTAAACTAAATAGAAATCTAATACATCTTAAAATCTTAAGACAATGAAAAGATATAAATGAAAAGTACACCTATTTATGTACATTCATCAACTCCCTCAAGTTGAAATACTGTAATAACTTGTTTCAATCTAAAACCTTGACGCGGCAACATCATCTGAAAGAAAAAATGCAAAACAAATTGAAGTATACTAAGTTTTGCTTAGTTGAAAACATATCACAGTATTTATTTAGGCATTGAAATATTAAGTTTCTATACATTGAGTTATTCAAAAATTTTCTAGGCCCAATATATACATTTTAGTTCTTTTTCTTACGATCCATATGTCATAAATTATTGCAGAATATAATCTCCGCATGTTCTTACTTCTTACACGCGAAGCTTAATCTAGAACACGAATGCCAAATATGAAAAAACACTAATACAAAACTTGATTCCCAAATAGCAGCATCAATTATTACTATTCTGCTTCTTATATTAATGCACATTTTTAACTACTACCGGTACTATCTTTCAAACAGTAGGCCTATGCTGCTGTGAAATCATTCCACACATCGAAGTGTTCAGTCAAACATCAATTTGCCGTCCCTTTCACAGCCAATCTCCCAAGAGCAAAGCACATGCCAATTAACATATTTATACTTGCGAGAAACAAACTTACCTTAGATAGATGAAGCCGCCGGCGTCTGTACTGTCATGTCTCTGAGGAGACAGGAGGCGAATTCGGTGAGGAGGAAGGGCAGTGGGGTGGTGGCGAAGGGCAAGATCAGGAATAGGTCTGGTCGGTCAAACATAACTTAGGCAAGTCAAGCGTCCAAAAAATTTAAAAAAAAAAAAAAAAACCCGGTTTTGAAACTCTTAGATCCTTTTACAAGTATTTTAATCCGTGGATTAACGCGATTTCCATTTAATACATGATTAGCTGTGAATTTACGCAAACATAAATAATTCAAAAAAATAATATTCGTACGTATTCATGAATATTTATTTTAGCAAATTAATATAAAAGGCGTTGAGATACCATATTAATCTTTGAATCAATTATTAAATTTTTATATGATTAAAAACCTAAAACTATATGTCTGTATTCAATTAAATACAAAAGATATAAAAACATATTTTTTTCTTCAAGAACCGATATTTAGTTTCCAAAAACTTTAATGAAGTTACAATTAAAACAAAACTAAATAAGGTTAATACACGTAGCTAGAATAATTAAGTGAATTTATAAATAAAAATAAAGTTTGCTAGAAGAGAGAGGAAAATCATAACTAAATATAATTTAAATTTATTAAAAACGATTAAATTTTAAAAGAGAGAGAAATTATGAGGGGAATTGGTTAGATGGAGTTGGATATGAATATGGATAAAATTCAAGTATCCAGTATCCACCTAACATGACAACTAAGAGAAAAAGAAAATGAATAATTAAATTAAGAACTTACACGCTCGCGCGTACTTCGGTATTCGTTAGTTCATTTATGAAACTATTCAATTGATGTACTTGAAGCACTAAATTCATGAATAAATGTTTAATAGAATTCATGTACCTTTATCTTGTATTACCTATATATAGAGGTATTCTAACCTCTCTCTTGTAACAACTTTTTATCAGTTGAATATAATAAGAAAATGCTTCTTTATTCTCTTTACTTCTTTCTCTAATATTCTAATCCCAATTTTAGTAGTTTATTTTATTCGTTTTACAACATTTTCAGCCAAAAGGGTATATTTTACGGTAAACTATGAGTGGAAACTTAATCTGATTGGGTATTCCACTCTGTAGACAAAATCCTAGACTACTTGCACCATTTTAATGCAATTACTTTCATCTCCTGTTGTTTTCTCTTGATGCAGTAAACTATTTACTAAACTAGAAGATTTCATCAACTCTCTTATTACTTTTGGCCCCTCGCAGCTTTCTATTTGCATTAAGCTAACTTTCTTCTTTGGGACTGCAACCTCTTTGTGAATCACATTCTGATACATCTTCAATTTCATTAACTTCAGGAAGAAATTCAGGTTGGTAGCTAACTAGTGTCAACAGATACTACTAGTTAAACGAGCTCTGGTCTTAATTTTGAGAAAATTGTTTAAAACGCGCAATATATTTCGTCAAATGAATTTTTTCGTTCTTCACTTTTAAAATGGTAATTTTATATCCTTTATAAAATTAAATCGGTAAAATTTGATTGCAAAATAAATTTTCGACCATTTTTTTACTCTGAATCCATCATGTGACCTACATATGGTTATTTTTTGGGAGGCTAAAAGGTTAAATCCTATTTATAATTAAATAAATAATTCGATTCATATTCATTTTTATCCCTAAAATGGTAGAATCTGACCTTAACTATATTCATCTTTTCCCTAAAAAAGTGATATTTGACCTTTTTTGTGCATAAAAAGTTATTGCATGTGATCACGTGGTGATTGCACGCTAAAAAGTGGTCAAAAATTTATGTTGGGATCAAATCCTACTAACATAAATTTGTAATAGATGAAAAGTTAACATATTAAAAGTGAATGACGAAAAATTCATTTGACGAAATGTAAGTGACTCTGAATGACTTTTCCCTTAATTTTTATAAAAGTTAATTTGGAAAAATGAATAAGTTCAAGAAGGGCAATACACATAAACCTGGAAAAATGTGTGTTGACCAGACTGTAAACATCCAAAATTTAAACATTCATCGTGCAGCTAATTGCTCCCTCTTGCTCATTAACCAGAGTTAAAAGTTGGAGATTTTATCAAAGAATCTTGCATTATATTCCAGAATTGTGTTACTAATTGTGGAGAAGATCATTACCCGTTTTATAGCATCAATGCATCAGCGTACCCTTCCAGCACAAATCATGCAAGCCCGTTAAAACCTTAAAAGAAACATATACCATAAAAACGTGATAGCTAGCTAAGGTTTCAGATTGCCATATTCATTTACAGAGAGCTCTTTAGAATCTAAATACTGCAAACTCAGCAGAGAAAGAAAGAAAAAACTGCATATCTGCACTTATTTTCACCACTTTGTCGATTGGCATTTGGCAGCCTTTCCATTATCATTAAGGTAGGGGCCGAAGGTTCTCATAACTTCCTCATAGGTAGGCCTCTTGTAGTCCACTGCCTGTTATCAGTCACATTATAACTTGCCCTGGTAAGCTACCATGAAGACAAAAAGCACTGAGAACCTTAGCTGGGAAGGCATAGAGAACAGTACCTGTTCGATGACTTCTTCAGGTCTAGCCCATTTCCAATCAGCAAATTCTGGCTCAACTTCACCGTTTGCTAAATTGATCTCACTTTCATCTTTTGTCAATCTCATGAGAAACCTGTTGAGAACAAAAGTTAAATTATCGTGCAATTGATTCGTAAGTAGGAACTCTAAGGGGGAGAACTAGGGAGAAAGAACAAGTAACATGTTGGCTGAGGAGGAATTGATGAAGGGTAGAGAAGCCAGTTAAAGGAAGATTAGAACTATAGAAAGAGTGGAGGAGACAGCAGAAGGGGAAGAACCAGAAGTCAAGAAACAAGGATTAGTTGAAAGCACCAGAAAACAATAACGATGGAATTAACCTTTGACAACACTGTGGAGTAGATACAAAGGTACATCTTCTACACATGTATGAATTGCACGTTTCATTCATCTATAAACTCCAATAGGCTTCAAAAACACCAAATAGGGATACTGAAAATGTACAGACACTACTCACCACTTTTGTGCCTGACCATGCCATTCTCCTCCTCCCCAAAGGCGATTCACTTTTGCCTTAACAGCAGGAGGAAAATCATAGGTCAACCATTGAGGAACCTGATAAAGGACAACAACATTTAGCAAACTACTAAGTTTCCCATTTTCTCCTGAAACACTAGAACATACACTGAAGTATTAGATTATTTCTCCTAAAGCAATTTCTTATGGAAAAATGTGCAAATCATAACCAGAATCACCATTTGAAATCAATCTGCTACATAATTTTGTCAGAAGTTACGTAATTATAGTATTTTCACCAACTTATTTGTCACGATTGTGCACACCAGATGAATCACGTTTAAAAGGTTTCCAATGTTTCAGAAAGTCAAAAGGTTCTTAGATGTTAAGACCTATTTTCTAAAGCATTCTCCAGAATATACGTACATCAACCTAAAAACAAAAGAATATATGTACATAAGTGCTAGAATACCTAAAATTTAAGGATACTTAGGAGGAACATAAAGCATACCCGTTTGCATTATAAGCAAGAGGCTTGAAGCATAGTTGAGATTCAGTTTAGACAAACCTCATCAATTATTTCAGCAGAGACAATTCCAGTTTCTTCTCGCAATTCTCTAGTCGCTGCAGACCTAGGATCCTCCCCATCTTCAATTCCCCCTAATAGTAATAAATCAAGCATGATTCAGATAAGGATGCTGAAGCAGTTGCATCACCTCATGCAATGGATTAAATCCCAATGAAACACAATGATCATGTAGGGAATGTATCCATTAGAAAAAAAAAATTAGTGGAAATCTTTCTCTTGCCATATATTGTTGAGCATATAATACACAAACAAATTCAAGGGAATGATAAAAAGAGATGTAGGATAAAGCTGATAATGAACTCTTCCTTCAGTCATTAAAAAGAATCAAACAGCAACCTGGTCATAACTTCATTGTAACTATAGCATTAAGCAAGAAAAGTAGATTGCATTACCTGCGGCATTTGCCAAGCTCCTGGAACATTTAATCTGGAAGCTACAAATACCTGCAAACCAGTAGTATCAGATCCGATGATTATCTGTACACTCAGATCTATCATACTAGGATGAGGAATACTCTAATACTGGTGAAAAGGAGTCTTGTGAAAGAAGTGTTTATGCATAAACTTTTTGAGTGGAAGACCATTGAATAAGGAGTGTTTATACATAAACTTCTGCACTTCGTTTTATCCCTAATCCATATCAACCTAAGGAAAAATGGAACATCTTTTTCCTTTTCTTTTCTATGGATTCAAATTCACTAATAAGAATCCAATAGGCTAGAAAGCTGCTACCACATCACGAATAAACTCCCAAAAAACTGGATGGTCCGTAAGCACTGCACATATTATTTGTAGATGCGCAACTTTTCCATGTAGAATTCCTGTTACGTTCCATGTAGATATGGTAAGAATGATATCCAGAACAAGGGTGGCTTCTACACTCTATAAGGAACTTTATTTTTAGCACTAGACAACCTAGCCGTACATAGTATATCTTCGCTCAGGAGGAGAATATGACAGAACTCAATGAGTAGAGATGCCTACATACTTTACATGTCAATTTTGAAAGACACCTAGATTTCAGACTAGAAAAACCTCAGCAATTACAAGAACCTACTTTCCATCTGCCTACAGGAAATCATTTTTTGCTTGTTTTCCACCTCAGCTACGTTCAATCACAAGAATTAACAAAGTTCTGAGCATGAAAGTTGTTCTGAATGCCAAATCCATGGCATCTTGATCTTTCTACAGATCTATCCACTACAGTTCAGAGAAACATATATGAGCAAAGCAGCTAACAAGACTGGAAAAATAATTCACAAAAAGGAATAAACTTTTAAGAACATACTAACTGTTATCCAGGAATCAAGAATTTTTCCTTCACTAATTTCCTTGCCAAAACTCTCATGAACAGTACCAGGTCAAAAAATTTTCGTAAACTAGGTACTACTACCATATAACACCCCAATCCATCATCAATATTCTTATCTTAATTAGCTTAAAACAAACTCTTTGCCGGGTCAAATTCACAACAAAACATCGTCATCATCTACTGATCAAGCAAAGCAAGAAACTGGTGACCCTTTACACTTCCCTTTCCATTACCAGCAAAAATCAATGGAAACAGAAAAAAGAGAGCAAGTCAACCAGAAACATGAAAAACCCCATTAAGGAAAAACAAAATCGTAATCACTTAAACAGAAAAACACCCATCTGGATTTTTCAACAATCAGAGTTAGAAAAATTTACCAGTAAAAAAGAAAAAGAAACAGTACCAAATTATCATCATTGATGAGACAAACTCCAACGTTGGGGCGATAGCCAGAGGGCAGGCCCTCCATTTCTATTCTATTTTCCTCTCTATCCTGAGTTCAGCTGAGGAAAAAAGGTCAGACAGAACTGAAACAAAAGAAAGGTTAAGACTTTGAAAGAGTTGAGAACAAGCAGGAAAGGAAGAGAGAGAGAGAGAAAGAAGCATATAAGGACAAGTCTAGTGTTTGATGACGGGATCACTATCATTATACCACTAACTGAAAGTCAACCCATTATTTGATTAAATTAATGTTTGCAGTACTATATTTTGTGTGTATGTGATGATGATGATGATGATGTTGGAGCGTAGTGGCAGTGGTGGGGGATGGAGTTTTTATTATGTGGAGGGATGACTTCTGAGTTCTGAGTGGGTTGGGAGGAGTTGAAATTCAGCATTGCATGTGATCCCAATTTCCATTTTTTGTTTAGCTCTCAATTGGGGCCTGAATTCAGCTTTAGTTTAGTAAAAGCTTGTTGAATTCAACGGAGTGATTTCTGGAGAGACTTAAGACCAGTATGATTTACGAGCCTCCTTTTTTACCCCTATTCTTTCTCCTTTTCTTGCAAGGGTTTGACCAAGGGATGTCCATTCCTTGTTCAGAGAAGTCTGAATTTGAGATTTGAGAGAAGTAAAATGTATAATTAATGTGGAAGAGTGTGTAAATGCACTTAGATACTAATTATCAATGTACACACTCACATAGTAAATTTAGTATAATTTAGATGATAGGTACATATGCATAATTTTTTAAAAAAATTATCTTGATATTGACTTTTCATTTTTCACATTCACAGTTAACTATACAGAGGTGGTGTTCCTATGTATGGTTGGACTTTGGGGGGTTAGATTTTGAATAAAAACTATTAAATGAAAACAGAAAAGGTAGATGATCGGCAGCCAAGTGAGCTTACAAAGTCCTTATGCAAAAGAGTTGACAAAGTTAAAGCTTAATCTAATACGTCCAATGTGGTTAGAATGGTTGTCTTAACTCTTAAGATTAAGATCCTGATTGATAACTCAATTTAATATTTAAATTTAATGGATTCAAATCGGATTTTAAAATGTTCAGACACATTTGATAACCAAAAAATAAAATAATTAAATTAATTAAATGATGCTGAATTTTCTAAACAAAATTTGCTCTAAAAAATGTGTGATGAACTATTCACTTATCACTTAATGTGAAAATGTGTTAGATTTAATACTTAACAATTCAATAATTTAACAAATTCAGATTTTCGATTTCAGTTTTAGACTTCAGTTTTATCTAAAATTTGTGAATGCAAAGTCTTTTTCATTAAATGACGTAGAATGCTATGCTTGCAATTTGTAGATTAAGTGGAAATGAACTGGTAATTTCAGTTCCTGTATCCGCTAATAGCTCATGGACGGTGGCCACATAAGGCATTAGCCACTTACGCTGTACTTATTTCGTGTTACTTAGGTTAAAAAGTTATTAGGGCACATGTTTAATGTTTCGTTCAATTAGGTACAGAAGATAAGGTGTTACTCAGAATGAAATCAGACATTTTGACTTGGAAAACTAGTTTGCTTTATGGTTGGATCATAATAAAATGAAAAAAAAAATGGGAGAAAAAGGCTCAAATTTGATTAGATGAGATCAAAATAGTGATGGCCTCACCAAATTTTTGCCTTTTTCTTTGTTTTTTTCACTTAATTGATGTTTGATTAATATGTTTTCTTTGCATTGATATATCATACATATACGATATAATGAGATGTGTAATTTTTTCTGACTGTTGCGAATGAGGATTTATTCAAGTGACACTTCATATAAAGTTTTAATCGATCAAAATATTACGATATTACACATACAATTTGCGCACGATTAAAATGCAATAGTTGTGTGAGTTGCAATCTTAAAAGAATAGTAATTGATGTTTTCTTCTTTTTTGTTATGTAGATGAGGAAGTAATCAAATAGGATAGATTTACTTATGTGTATATTTTTTCTGTTTTTTGATGTGACAGCCCCACCTTCCCCTAAAGCGAACCAAAGAGGTTAGCGGACTGCTTGCACAGCTCTCGTCAGAACTAACGGTGCAGTTAAACACTATTTAAAACGTTCCGGAAAATAAAAGCGCGCTCAGACAAGTCAAAATCGCAAAATAGCCAAATGAAAATCCAAAACCGTCGATGAATAGTGGGTGCCATGTCATATAACTCGGAAAAATATTTCCAAACCAAATAGGACACATAAACAGGGTTAAACAGTGTTATATACATACGTTTGTAATTTACAAAACAAAATGAAGATAATTAGATCAAAATACATTTAGGATTTTTTCAACTATCGAGGAGCTTTACAAAATATATTAAAATTAGCTCAACTCGTGCTTCAAAACATCATAGTCCCCAAAAGTGGTTCCCTGTTCGGCAGTGCTTCTTTGGGAAGGAGATCGAGAGAGGTGGTTGAGTGTGGTACATGGTGGACGATGGTGAGGAAGAGGAGCAGTTTGAGGAGGTTGCGACAGTGCAGAGGAATTATGAACTCCATTTGAGTTGAGAATAGTGACTACGTAAAGGGTAGTTTTTTTTTTTTTTTTTCCAGAATATTGGGTAAGGCAAGAGCTTGAATGGATTTTCAGCAATGAGATGGATGATGATTTATAGTTGGTAAGAAGGGAAAGGAGTCAATGTAAAAACAGCAAAGCCATCACCAAGCCTCCACTTCACATCATCTTATCAGTCAGAACAAAACATCTTGAGAGAATCTGCCTTACCTTGGTGTATAGAAGCTCAATTTGAAAACTGTTCATTAGATTTGAAATTGGAGTCTTAGATCATTCTAATTATATAAATATTTCACATTGACTCCTTAGATTAAATAATCCATGTCTTCAAACGTGACACGCAATTTGCTTCTAGAAATCTAAACAGCCTTTGAAAACATGACACATACATGCTTTCTTGTTAATAATGGCATGCTAATATGTCAAAGTTTTGGTTTTATGCCACTGATAATATGTTTTTTTTGGTGTACAGATGTTGTTGTTGTGACAGGTGAAAGAACGTTGGTATACCAAGGTCCTTGCTCTGAGTTTAAAAATTGTAACCAAACTTGCATTGACAGAAAATTCCCAGGGGGAGGCATTTGTGAACAGCCTGCTCCTGGTTCGCCCTTGGGTTGCCACTGCATAACCAATTGATTTGGAATAAAAGGCTTTGGATTTGAACTTGTAACTTTATTCAACTGCTCTTAATAATGCATTAAGAGTTGTTATGCATTGAGGATCTTTATTTACTAAATAAAAATAGCAATATTGGATAATATATTTTGAGTACTTCAAGGCTTTTCTATTGCCGAATTGATAAGTTTGGCGCAATCAAGATTATTATTTTGTAATTCTCTAAGGGCACGCAAGAGAGAGAGAGCAAGAGCTTATGACCCACCTCGCAAAAGAGATCGAAAACAAACACCATAGATTTGAAAAAAAAAAAAATCCCAAATATACATGCTCAAAAACATCAGTCATCATTTTTTATCGCTATGCTATCCTATGAGATGTTATCATTGATGATCTTTATTTAGTAAATAAGCATATCGATATTGGATAACAATATTTTGACCCCAAGGTTCTTCAATTCTGCAAATTAAGTAATTTTGGCATAATCATGTTTAGGGTTACAAACGAATCAAACTATTCGTGAGTGTTCGTGAGTCAGTTCGATCAAAACTCGATTCGAATTTGAGCATAGAGAAATTCAATTCATTAGCTTGCGAGCCACTCGATTATATATATATATATATAGTAAAATTGCATATGTATTTCTAATATTTTATTATTTGTTAAGAAAAAATTACTATTTTATTCATTTTTTAAAAGTAAAATAATTATTTTTTTAGGCTCGAGTTTAAGCTCGATTTGACTCTAATTTGAGGTTGAACTCGAGCTCGAGTTCGACTTTAATAAAATTGAATCGAAACTCATCTCGATTAAGCGAAAGGTCGACTCAACTCGACTCATTTATATCCCTAACTATCTTGAAATTCTATAAGGACACTGCACGCCTAGACAGTGCAAGATCCTATGACAGAATCTTGCAAAAGAAAATGTAAATAATGTATTGATATCTACACTTTTATGCCAATTATTTATTTTTCTTCACTACAATAAAATGTTTTCTCAAATCAAATCATCCTTGGAAAGAGCAAGAATCTACAAACGAACCAGTAATAATATAAAAATCGATTCTTTACCACCAAACATTAAAATAATTTCCCTGTGGAGCCAGAATACGCAGCATTAATAGTAGCAGTAGCATGACTACATATAACAACAATTACGCAGCAACAAACCTCTAGACAAATAATTTTCATTTTCTTCGATAAATGAAGTGATTAGAGGCACACTTTCGTAGGGGAGACCCCAAATAACCTTAGTGACATGACAATGTTGAACTCAAATAGCTGCTACGTATGATGATATACATACCAACAAACAGACTTGCTATGGTAGAAAACAGAAAATGGTGCAACGGTGCTTTATATGTAAAGTGGCTGGAATTCAAAGTTTAGTGGTTTATATGTAACTGAATAAAAGTTTTTGGGGGCCAACAACCTCTTGGGTGTCGGTACCACCAAGACTTATTAGTCTTGGTTAAGTCTTGGTGGGAGTGGGAGGTCAAGAACTGTTGGTACCACCAAAACTTAATGTCTTGCCTTCCATCTTGTCACTTAATTGTGGCTTCCTATGACGGGAAATCCCTTCGGCTCCTTTTCTCTTTAGATTAAGTTAAAGTAGGTTATACAAATATTACCGTTACGATAAAAAAAAAAAAGAATAAAAGTTTTTGGGGAGTAAATTTCAATTAGCTTCATAAAAAATTTAAGAGCTCAACTGGTTGATTGCAAACGACGTCGTCGTTCTGTCGGCAGATTGCTTGACGTCCTATTTGTCTTTGAATAGGAGCTGTTCGGTAAAATGTCTCCAAGAGCTTACATGAACATCAGTCTTGATATAGTTGCTTTTGTTACAGTAATTACCTCAGCCTACTCCAACAAGCTGATTAATTTCTTCTTCGGAATTCAGTTTATTACTCGGGAAATTATATACCGTACGTGCAGGATTTTCTATGTTTACATAATCGCTGTGTCTAAGCCAGTAAAGAAGTTTTCAGAAGTATACTGCTGAATCTTTATGTTCT